TATATATATATATATTTTTTTTTAGTTTACTTTTTTACTTTAATTTGATGTGATGAAATGCAAGTGCGATAAAAGGGTGAACAAGATTTAATAGAATTAAAGTAGATGTAATCAAAATCAATGTACTCTCTAACATAGTGATAATTGTCAAATAGTATATAAATTTTATTCCATTTAGATAATTATTAGATATATCTTATACTTGAAAATCTTGTTTTTACTCACAAAATATTTAGTCAAGAGTGATCAGTTTTATTTTAGGATATAGTTATTAATATAAGGTATTTTTAATATTTTTCTTTGTTGAGATATGACATGGGGAGAAAAATATTCAAAAGTTATAAGTCTCAAATGAAAACCATCACACTCCAAGATCAACTAGATGGGCTCTAAGCAATACAAAATAGCTTAGATTGTCCAACAGCTCACTTTGAGTGAACTGAGCCAGAGACTACACCTAGGAGATCAAATTAGCTCATTTGAGTGAGTAAGATGCTCACTCTAAGTGACCAAAGCCTAGCTTGAAATGAACCAAGTCAGAAAACACCTCTTGGAAGATGGAGATTGCTCGCTTAAGCATGCAAGTTACTTGCTTTGAGTGAGCAAAATTTACTCAGAGCAACCACAAGAACACTCTGAGCGAGTTAGGTTAGAGGCACCCTTGGAGGATCAAACAAGTTTGTTGAGAGGGAGCTACATGGGTGCTTTGAGTGAGTGGACACAAACAAAAAGCCCATTAAAAATGTTATAAAATAAGGTCTATAGGAAGTCTCTATATCATACTTTCTACGAGCATAATTTTAGAGAGATTAGAGAGAGTTCTTATGAGGTCATTCTTGTCATCACGGATCGCTCAAAGATCCTTCCTTTCATGTGTAATGCTTAGTCATGAATGGTTAAGTCTCTATTATTGAAAATTGATGTAGTTGTTGCACTCATGTAATCTTCCCTATTCTCATTCAGTACATTATTTTTATTTAGTTTATCACTTTTACTTTATACTTGATACTTGTTTTGGCCAAAACATGATTTTATAATTTTAACTAGAGTTGGTTAACCCTTTTAGACTTATGACATAAGTATAACGTTGATAACACTTATTCCTAGGAATAGGGTAAACCTTATCAGTCAATTTTTAGGTAAACCTTATCAGTCAATTTTTAGGTTCCTGGCCTT